CCCAAACCCTTATTCTAATCATTAAGGCCCCTACTGAACCACTTCCCACCCTTATCTTTCTTCCACCTCTTGCCAGAAACGGCATCGCCCGTGGTAGGTGAGGAATCTTACAGTAAAGGGGCCCCTCCATGGCATTGCAAGGAGGAATGAAGGACTCCGGCTGGGACGCGGACGATGCGAGCTCGTCAGCATTTAGTTTGAGCTGCTAGTTCTGGTATTTGGGCTACTTGGGGCTTCTCCATTTGACAATTTAGGACGCTAAGGTGTGAGGGTTCAGGGTAGTTTAGGGTCTCAAGCTGGGGCATCGGGGTAACATGTTGACATCGCCCCATTGCCATGAGTGTTTGGAGAGTTTGTCTATCAGATTAGGGTTTTCAGTTTAGGGTTTAGGGTTCACGGCTAACAGTAGTAGTCGCCAACAACCTTAACACTACAGGAACAGGAATAACACGAGTAGTAGTATCATTAAAAGGTACAATCATCACACGCAGAAATGTGCGGGGTCATCGAGAACCCAGATTTGGAACTATGGCGAAGTCTGCTTGGACTCCAACAAGGAACGCATTCCTAAAACTGAAAACTTGAGCAAGAAGGGGTTTGCCCGAGAACCCTAAACCTTAAACCCTAAAGATACCCAACACCTTGAAGCCCTAAACCCTAAACCCCAAACCCTGATCCTCTACCCTAAACCCTAAACCCTAAACCCTAAACCCTAAACCCTAAACCCCGAACCCTGATCCTCTAATCCCTAAACCCCTGAACCCCTAAACGCTTAAAGCCCAAACCCCCCTAAGCTCCCGACCCCCCTAAGCTCCCGAACGCTAAACCCCTAAACGCCTAAACCCCTCCGCGCCAGGTCGTCTCGGACTGCCGTCATCGGCTTCGGCGGCCTTCGCCTTACGGATTGCAGCAGATCCCAGGACCGGCCCCAAAGCCCCAGAAAAACGGCATTTCCTGAGCAATGTGAGGGCACGCACTGGGGAGGCAGGGGAACTTCCTGGGGTGGTGATACGCCGTTGTTGCTGCTGCTGCTGCTGCTGCTGCTGTTGGTGGTGGTGGTGGTGGTGGTGGTGGTGGTGGTGGTGGTGGTGGCGGTGGCGGTGCTTGTACTCGCTGTTGATATGTGTATTTCGACAACTTTGCCACGCCCTACCATTATTCGGCAGACTATTGCCTTTGTTGCCAGCATCTCGCTGCACTCATTCTGGTGAACAATGTGAAGGTCAGAACTTTGCATGCGTGGTGCCGGCCCTCTGTCATTTCTCTTGTGGCTGAGGGTCACAGGCGATTCCCACAACTGTCATCCGTAGTGTAATCCCTTAGCCCAACCTCGTATTCCTTACACCCTGCCTCCTAAGTCCTGACACTAGATAGCCAATGGGAGAACTTTAAACTTTTCGGCCTTGTATGTATGTATGTATGTATACATATATATATATATATATATTTGTATATTGGGTTTATCCTTCACACTTCACAGTTTGAACTGTTTGGGGCATGGTTGTTGAAGAAGAGAGGACACCCGCACTCTAGCCCTCTAAATGCTTCAGGAGCAACAACAGCCACCTTGACCTCTGCATCCCCGGGGCGTGTTCTTGGCCTGGACGTATTCCCAGGAGCTCAAAAACCCCTTCATTCAGGATCAGAACCTGAAACTTCTGTATTGCGAACCCCAATATGATGTAAGGTATATTCCTCATTTAGGGGTTTTGGAGCCCTAAACGCTAGACCCCAAATCCTAAACCTACTATTCGTTATATATTGAAGGGGTTTTGGAGCCTGTGGGTTCCTGAGGACCCAAGCGTCCATATCGCAGTTGGAGAAGATAGGGACCGCACCTACCAGAGCCCCTACATCTCACTTGGAATTTAGAGGTAGTAGTGCTCGTATACCGGCTTTGGTGGTCATATACATGCTGATATGCACACACACATACCTACATACATACATACATACATACATACATACATACATACATACATACATACATACATACATACTACATACATACATACATACCGACAATTGCTCACTTGCGGAACTAGCATAACAATAACACGGCTCATGCCTACAGGTGCCACATCTTCAGCCATCACCGAAATCGCCAAAACATGAGCCAAAGCTTATACTCAAAAAGAACTTCTGTTCGCAGTATCGATGAGTGTAGCTTTGGGTATCCTTAGGAAGGCAAGGGTAACCGACAACAAGTCCTAGATGACCGAAGATACTGGTGGTGAACGAGGTGGCCTTATGCAGAAGGTTTAACACAAATTCATCATTTGGCGCGTGTTTCCGAGGGTGTAGTAGCAGAAACAGCTTTAGATTGCACAAAATGAGGGCTTGAATAATGAGCCATAGTATCCCTCAGAGTTCACCACATATATATATATATAATATACAGTGGACCAGACCGCCCCACCCGGTTGCATGTTCAGTGACATACGTTTTTAGGGTATAGGTTTTTTGGCTTCCGGGCTAACCCAAGATGTACTTTAGGCCACAGTGGATTACTGAAGACGAGACTCCCCAAGGCCTAGACCCCTCAACCCTAAACGCTAAACCTCTGCTCAAGCGATTTAGGGAAAGTTTTGGGTCCTTCCACCATGGTGACTAGGGCATGGTAGAGGGGAAGTGCGGCGTGCTGTGCACAGAGGATGGCGATGTCGCAGCGAAAATGGCATCTGGAGTTCCCAGTTGCTTCCCGTAGTCCGCGCAGCTTCGACATTGGCACATCAGTCCGCAACAGCCCTTCGGAAGCTCAAGTACACATCTATACACTTGCACGTCTCCGTGCTTGTGTACGCCCTTGAGGCATTCGGGGGTAAGGGTTTAGGGGCTTTGAGCCTGAACCCTAAACCCCTAAAGCCTGAACGCCCCTAAACCGTTAACACTGAACTCTAGATCCCTACACCCTAAACCTTAAACTCCTAAACTTTTTAAACCCCTACACCCTAAATCCTAAGCCCTTAAGCCTGAACTCTAAATCCCTACACCCTAACCCTGAACTCTAAAATCCTTAAACCCTATAAACCCGCCTATATCCTAAACGCCTAGACCCCTACACCCTAAATCCTAAATTAAACCTCTAAACCCCTAAACCCTAAACGCTTAACCCAGAACTCTAATTCCAAAACGACGAACCCGAGACCTAACATCCCTAAGATCTAACGTAGGGGCCTAAATCATTTCCGATACTAGTGGGGGTTTTAGGGTTTAGGGCGTCAGGGTTTAGGGTTTCTGACTATCAGTATAGTATAACGGGCCCCAAAACCCTATTCTAAGTGTTCATGCCTCGATATTGGGCTAGCAGAGCCCGAGTATAAAACGCGAAAGAGCCCTACAGGATTTAGAGTTTAAGGTTTGGGATTTATGGTTTTAGGGCTTAGGCTTTCGGCTAGCCCTATATTGAACCATTTCAGAATCCGACAAGACCCGTAAATCCCTAGACGTCCCGTAACGTCCCATTTGAGCCTAGAGCCTTTTATGTACCTGTTATACCTTGACAGAGCCTGATACAACCGTTTCAGATCCCTTGAAGACTCTATCAAAGCCCACTAAACCCTGAACCTCAAACCCTAAACCTTAATTAAACCCTGAAGCCTAAACCTGAAACCCTAAAGCTTGCCTAACCGCTAAACCTTAAACCCTATCCAAGCCTTGCTAGCCATGTTGGCGCCTTGCAACCTCCGGCTGTATGCGCGCGGACGAGGCACGACATCTCACCCAGGAGGTTTCATGCACATGCAGAAATGGCCCGAACGCGATTGGCTTTCAGTTGGAGGGACTAATTAATGTACATGCATATATTATGTACCAGCATACATACATTCATGCATACATACATACATCCGTGCATACATACATTCGTACCTACCTATCTACGTACACACATACATACACATACATAAGTACGTACATACATCCATACATACATATATATACATAGATGTATACACATACACAATGAACGAGAGCTTGGGCCCTTTGGGCAGTGACCTCTCAGTGACCCCTGGGGCAGTGGTAGAGTATATTGCTTCTCCAACAGCCACGACCCAAACCCTTATTGTAATTCTCTTGGTTGTAGTGCAATCATTTACAGCTGTCTTCCCCAAGGTACGTAAACTATGAGCAATGATTGTGGCATATTCCGGCACCTGGAACAACTAGACGCTTGTACAACACTCTGTCGTAGGTCCTTTTGCCGTGTTTGCTTTGATTGTTTATACTTCGACGATCTTTCAGGATTAGTTACCATTTTCATCACTTATGGCTTAATCGTGATTGCCACGATTGCCACCACTACGGCTATTCCTTCTACTCTTGTGATAAAGCCTGACATAAACTCTAACCCAAACACTAAACCCTAAACACTTCCACAAGATGACACGAAAGACTTGCGAGGTTCGCTGCTGCACCGAGCCGGGTGTCGTCATTGCAGGATCGCCTCAATTGAGCTCGTGGTTCAAGTTGTAGGGTTCGGTTCGGGGTTGAGGGTTGAAGTTTTAGGGCTCGGATCAGTGTGTTTTCGAGTTGTGGTATCTGGGTTCAGAGTTTCAGGGGTTTTGGAGATTTTGGTTCGGGTGAAAACTTAGTTAACTGGTTTACTGCCCACAGCGCACCGTTTGATCTTGTTTTTTTCTATAAGCACGGATCATCGAGTCATTCCCGGATATACTGCAGGGCATTTGAGGGACATGCAGAATACCAGGTTAATGTAGTGATACCATAAGAGACCCCCAAACCGTATTCTGAATATTAGATGCCCCTGTGTTAACATGCCAAAGCCCGACACCCCCCAAACCCTGCAAACCTTTTTCTACCAAGCCCTTACACCCTATAGGTCTTCGAACTAATCTAGATGCCAGCACCCTACATAAAACCTTTCTCAGCCTATAAACATCTAATACACCCACCGCATGAAGCCCTTACAACCTTCTCTGATAGCATAAGCTGATGAAACCCCCATATAGCTACTAACTCTCTAATTAGTCACTTGCCTCCTTCTGCAAGGATGGCGCCTGGCCTTGGACGAACTGAGCGGCCAAAGGGCAGAAGTAGATGCCACCTACTGCGGCAACCTGGCCCCGTGGTGAAACATTTAGGGTTACGGCTCAAAATAGCCCAAAAGTAGGGTGGTGGCTTTTCTTGCACCTCGGTGAAAGATAGGGTTTGGGGATTAGGGCTTGAGTTTTAGGGCCTAGGGCGAAAAGTCTGTCCTCATGTGTCAATGATTTAAGGCTTTTGGACATCTAAAGATCCCAATGGCACAAAACCCCTACGGAGTAAGGCCTTTGGGCCCAAAGTTTTGAGTAACCATAGAACCTATGCGTGTGTGTACAGATGTATGTATGTATGTATGTATGTATGTATGTATGTATGTATGTATGTGTGTATGTATGTATGTATGTATGTATGTACGTACATACATACATACAT